GTTTAGATTGCCTAAAATACTTTTACAGTAGTTCAATGAAAATGAATTTGTGGAAAACTTTATTACATAATGTGATCAAGCAATTTTAGCTAAAGATTATTTTTCAAAGGCTGTGTTAATGTCATCTTTGGTTTATGGTATTGTGTAATATTTCATAGCTTTTTTTTCGTTTTAGAGGTGGGGTCTTGCTGTGTTGGCCAGGTTGGTGTTGAACTCTTGGCATCAAGCAATCCTCTGGCCTCAGCCTTCCAAAGTGCTAGGATTACAACTGTGAGCCACCATGCCCGCCCATACCTTATTTTCAATAGTAGTAAAATGACTTTTTGTTTTTGTATATGATTTTTACTGTAAAGGTTTTTTCCTTCCATACATTTAAATCCAAATTATATGTTTACTGCATTTCTTCTCTGTGTTACTCTGGTGAAAAACTTAGAGAATACATAAAGGAGGGTGTTGTTTGGAAATAAAATTTTGTGACATGAAATGTATGTTAGATGATGGCAGGTACTGACTAGGTTCTCTGTAAATAGGAAAATGGAATGTCCTTGTAAGTCTTTAGTTCAATTAAAGTACTGGGATACAAAATGGTGAAATGAAGTCTCTTAATATGGAAGTTATCAGAGATAAGCTGCTTGAAAATCAAGTGTGTGGAGGTTAACCAGCACCTGGAGAACTAAATGAAAATACAGTTAATAAGAGAGTCCACAAGATATTAGTTATAATTTATGCAAAGGAGATAATTTGGTGAATCCCTGGAGGCAATTCAACTTCCCACTGTGGCTGGTATTTCTGTTCTGAGCCAGAGGATCTTACAGCGAAACATGACATTTGTGCAACTTTTGCCATGACAGCTGCCGTTTAACATACTCCCCTTAGATTTGTTTCTATTTTTAAAAACTGATACATATTCTTTAATAAGTGATTTACCTTTGCATATATATTTTCTTTCGTATCAATCACATTTAGAGTAAGAATCACAGTTGTTAGTGCTTTATGTGTAACAACTAAATCGTCAGCTCCCCGAAGTAAATATTGATGATATTCTCATTTCAGAGGTGAGGCAACCTAGGACAGATAGGGAAAATAATCAAATTAGGCTGGGCACAGTGGCTCACACCTGTAATCCCAATACTTTGAGAGGCTGAGGCAGATGGATCACCTGAGGTCAGGAGTTCAAGACCAGCCTGATCAACATGGTGAAACCCCGTCTCTACTAAAAATATAAAAATCAGCTGGGTGTGGTGGCGGGCGCTTATAAGTCCAGCTATTTGGGAGGCTGAGGCAGGAGAATCGCTTGAACCTCGGAAATGGATGTTGCAGTGAGCTGAGATGTGCCATTGCACTCCAGCCTGTGGACTCCATCTCTATCTCTCTTTCTCTTTCTCCCTCTCTCTCTCTTTATGTGTGTGTGTGTGTGTGTGTGTTTCAGAAAATTGATAGAACTATGAAGAGACATTTCACTGAAGCAGATATACTGAGATAAATAGGCCCATAAAAAGATTTCCAGCGTCACCATCCATCAAATGTCAGACCTCAGCATATTCTGCTTTAAAAGACTCATCTAGTCACATTTCAGTAAGAGGCTGAATCAAGATTTGAATCCATGTTGTCTGGTTGCAAGGACAAGCTTTTAACGGTGATGCTACAGTAACAATGCTAGATATTTTTGTCCTTTACTGTCTGTCTATACCTGTTTTGTTAGTATCTCTTGTAATTTTTAAATGGTTTTTCTTCATATATCTTTGTGATTGTGGTAACTTTTATTAAATCTATATTTTTATAGATCAATTAAGTCTATATTTTTACAGATCACTGTTGCCTATGAATCTTACCTAAATGAATGACAGAGACACTCATTACCACATAATCCTGTAAGAAAGGTTATCTAGGCCGGGCAAGGTGGCTCATACCTGTAATCCCAGCACTTTGGGAGGCCTAGGTGGGCGGGTCATGAGGTCAGGAGTTCGAGACCAGCCTGACCAACAATGGTGAAACCCTGTCTCTACTAAAAATTCAAAAATTAGTCTGGTGTGGTGGCCCGCACCTGTAATCCCAGTTACTCAGAAGGCCAAAGCAGGAGAATCGCTTGAACCTGAGAAGAGGAGGGAGGGAGGGAGGGAGGGAAAGAAAGAGAAAGGAAAGAAAAGAAAGATTTATCTTTCGAGGGAGGTATCCAGTACGTAAGGTATGAGTTTAAGAATTCACTAATAGTGGCCAGGTGCGATGGCTCACCCCTATAATCCCAGCACTTTGGGAGACCGAGGCAGGTGGATCACCTGAGGTCAGGA